AGTTTGCTTTGCACCTTCGAATTTCTCTTAAATTGTTCTATTTGCTGACAGCGTTTTAGATAGCAAAGCTGAAATTAATATTTTTCGAAATTTGGCACGTAATAAGGGGGGGTATTTTGTAACTTGATCACAAAAAGGTTCGTTTTATTTGTAGTCTGTCTCGAAAATTTTTCCTCTGATTGAAGTTTGCTCTGAACCAATGAATTTCTTTTAATGTGTTCTCCTTGTATACAGAAAATTAGATAGCAGCGCTTAACATATTATATCTCGAAATTTATCACGTAATGGGGGGGGGTATTATGTAACTCTATCAGTTGAGGTCTTTTTTATTTCTCGTCTATCTCGTAAACTATTCGTCAGATTGGAGTTTGCTTTGCACCAATTTAATGTGTTCTCCTTGTACACGGAAATAAATATAGCAGTGCTGAAATTAAAATTTTTTGAAATTTGGCACGTAGGGAAGGGGTCGTTTTGTGACTTGAACAATTGAGGTTCCTCTCGTTTATCGTCTATCTCGGAATCTATTCGTATGATTGGAGTTTGCTTTGCACCAATCAATTTATTTTATTGTGTTCTACTTGTATACTGAATTACAGCTAACAGTGCTAAAATTAATATTTTCCGCAATTTCGAACGTAATGTAGAGTCGTTTTGTAACTGGAACAATATAGGTTACTTTCTTGTGTATCTTGTGTCTTTCTTGTGTATCTTGTGTCTTTCTTGTGTATCACGGAAATTATTGGTCTGATTGTAGTTTGCTTTGCACCAATCAATTTCTTTAAATGTGTTCTACATGTATAAAGAATTACAGATAATTGTGCTAAAATATAATTTTCCGAAATTTGGCACGTAAGGAGGGGGGTCGTTTTTAACTTAAACAATATAGGTTTCTTCGGTTTTTGTCTATTTCGGAAACTATTCGTCTGATTGGAGTTCGCTTTGCACCACTCAATTTCTTTTAATGTGTTTTACTTGTATTCAGAATTACAGATAACAGTGCTAAATTTAATATTACCTGAAAATTAGTGGGTAAAAAGGGGGTGGTTTGGTATTTGAACAAAATAAATTTCTTTGGTTCCTCGTCTATCTCGGAAACTATTCATCTGATTGGAGTTTGCTTTGCACCAATCAATTTCTTTTAAAGTGTTCTACTTGTATACAGAATTACAGATAACAGTTCTGAAATTAATATTTTTCGAAATTTAGCACGTGAGAGGAAGTCGTTTTGTAATATAACAATTGAGGTTCTTTTTGCTTCTCGATTATCTCGGAAACTATCGTCTGATAGAGTTTGCATTTTACCAATCAATTTCTTTTAATGTGTTCTAATTGTATACAGAATTAGAGATAGCAGTGCTGAAATTAATATTTTTCAAATTTGGCACGTAAGGGGGGGTCGTTTTGTACTTTGCCCAATTGAGTTTCCTTTATGTTTTTTGTTAATCTAGGAAACTATGCGTCTGATTGGAGTTCTTTTTGCGCCAATAAATTTATTTTAATGTGTTTTACTTGTATACAGAATTAGAGATAGCAGTGCAGAAATTAATATTTTTCGAAATTGGCACGTAAGGGGGGGTCGTTTTGTACTTTGCCCAATTGAGTTTCCTTTATGTTTTTTGTTAATCTAGGAAACTATGCGTCTGATTGGAGTTCTTTTTGCGCCAATAAATTTATTTTAATGTGTTTTACTTGTATACAGAATTAGAGATAGCAGTCCTGAAATTATTATTTTTCGAAAATTGGCACGTAAAATAGGGTCGTTTTATACTTTCTCAATTGAGGTTCCTTTTTGTTATTCGTCTATCTCGGAAACTATGCGTCTGATTGGAGTTTGCTTTGCACCAATCAATTTTGTTTTAATGTGTTTTACTTGTATACAGAATTAGAGATAGCAGTGCTGAAATTAATATTTTTCGAAATTTGGCACGTAAGGGAGGGTCGTTTTGTAGTTTGCCCAATTGAGGTTCGTTTTTGTTTTACGTCTATTTTGGAAACTATGCGTCTGATTGGAGTTTGCTTTGCACCAATAAATTTCTTTTAATGTGATTTACTTGTATACAGAATTAGAGATAGCAGTGCTGAAATTCATATATATCGAAATTTGGCAAAAAAGGTAAAGTCATTTTTTTACTTGAACAATTGGGGTTCATTTTGTTTCTCGTCTGCCCCGGAAAATATTCGTCTGATTGGAGTTATCTTTGCACCAATCAATTTCTCTTAACCTGTTTTACTTGTATATAGAATAAGAGATAGCAGTGCTGAATAAAATATTTTTCGAAATTTGGCACGTAAGAGGGGGGTCGTTTTGTAACTTGAACATTTGAGGTTCAGTTTGTTTCTCGTCTATCTCGGAAAATATTCGTCTCATTGGAGTTTGCTTTGCACCAAACATTTTCTTTAAATGTGTTTTACTTGTATACAGAATTAGAGATAACAGTGCTTAAAGTAATATTTTTTGAAATTTGGCACAAAAAGAGGAGTTATTTTGTAACTTGAACAATTGAGGTTCAGTTTGTTTCTCGTCTATCTCGGAAACTATTTGTTTGATTGGAGTTTGCTTTGCACTAATCATTTTCTTTTAATGTGTTTTACTTGTATACAGAATTAGAGATAGCAGTGCTGAAATTAATATATATCGAAATTTAGCAAGAAAGGAAAGGTCTTTTTTTTTACTTGAACAATTGAGGTTCATTTTGTTTCTCGTCTACCTCGGAAAATATTCGTCTGATTGGAGATATCTTTGCACCAATCAATTTCTTTTAACGTGTTTTACTTGTATATATAATAAGAGATAGCAGTGCTGAATAAAATATTTTTCGAAATTTGGCACGTAAGGGGGGGTCGTTTTGTAACTTGAACATTTGAGGTTCAGTTTGTTTCTCGTCTATCTCGGAAAATATTTGGCTGATTTGAGTATGCTTTGCACCAATCAATTTTTTTAACGTGTTTTACTTGTTTACAGAATTAGGGATAGAGGTGCTGAAATTATAATTTTTCAAAATATGACACGTAAGGGGGGTCGTTTTGTACCTTGAACAATTCAGGTTCAGTTTGTTTCTTGTCTATCTCGGAAAATATTCGGCTGATTGGAGTTTGCTTTGCACCAAACATTTTCTTTAGTAGTGTATTACTTGTATACAGAATTAGAGATAGCAGAGCTGAAATTAATATATTTCGAAATTTGGCACGAAATTTGGTCGTTTTGTAACTTGGAAAATTGAGGTTCAGTTTGTTTCTCGTCTATCTCGGAAACTAATTGTCTGATTGGAGTTTGCTTGGCACCAATCAATTTCTTTTAATGTGTTTTTCTTGTATACAGAATTACAGATAGCAGTGCTTAAATTAATATTTTTTGAAATTTGGCACGTAAGGGGGGTCGTTTTGTAACTTGTACAATTGACGTTTATTTTGTTTCTGGTCTAACTCGTCTGATTGGAGTTTGCTTTGCACAAAACAATTTCTTTTAATATGTTTTACTTGTATACAGAATTAGAAATAGCAGTGTTAAAATTAATATTTTTCGAAATTTGCACGTTAGGTGGGTCGTTTTGTAACATGAACAATTGAGATTCAGTTTGTTTCTCGTCTATCTCGGAAAAATATTCGTCTGATTGGTGTTTGCTTTGCATTAATCAGCTTATTTTAATATGTTTTACTTCTTTACAGAATTTCAGATAGCAGTGCTGAAATAATAATTTTTCGAAATTTGGCATGTAAGGGGGGTCGTTTTGTAACTTGAACAATTGAGGTTCTGTTTGTTTGTCGTCTATCTCGGAAACTATTCGTCTGATTGGAGTTTGCTTTGCACAATCATTTTGTTTCAATGTGTTTCACTTGTATACAGAATTAGAGATAGCAGTGTTAAAATTAATATTTTTCGAAATTTGCACGTTTGGTGGGTGGTTTTTTAACATGAACAATTGAGATTCAGTTTGTTTCTCGTCTATCTTTGAAACTATTCATCTGATTGGAGTTTGCTTTGCACCAATCAATATCTTTTAACGTGTTTTACTTGTATACAGATTTTGAGAGAGCAGTGCTGAAATAAATATTTTTCAAAATTTGGCACGTAAGGGGGGTCGTTTTTTAACTTGAACAATTGAGGTTTATTTTGTTTCTCGTCTATTTCGGAAACTATTCGTCTGATTAAAGTTTGATTTGCACCAATCACTTTCTTTAATGTGTTTTACTTGTGTTCAGAATTTGAGATAGCAGTGCTAAAATTAATATATTTCGAAATTTTGCACGTAAAAGGGGGTCGTTTAGTAACTTGAATACTTAAGGTTCATTTTGTTTCTCGTCTATCTCGGAATCTATTCGTCTGATTAAAGTTTGCTTTATATTAGTCAATATCTTTAATGTGTTTTACTTGTATACAGAATTAGAGATAGCAGTGCTGAAATTAATATTTTTCGAAATTTGGCACGTAAGTGGGGGGGGGTCGTTTTGTAACTTGAACAATTGAAGTTCATTTTGTTTCTCGTTTATCTCGGAAACTATTAGTCTGATTAGAGTTTGCTTTGCACCAATCACTTTCTTTTATTTTTTTTTTATTTGTATACAGAATTTGAGATAGCAGCAGTGGTGATATTTTACTACTATGGCGGTCACGGCCCCTTTCAATTTATTCTGTGTTCTGAACTGCTTGTCCACGGAATTGCAGGGGCTCGGATGTCGCATCACAAGATTACGGCTGAGCAGTCTCCCTTCGCGTTTCTCGCTTGCAAAATGTGAGTGCATGCATTTGCACTGACGGCCGTCGAGTACATCTCGTGAAACGCGAACTCCTACGATGCACCTTAGGGGGACGACGTCTATCTGAGTTCCATAACGACACAAGTTTCTGGTCTCGTGTGAGAAATAAATTTGTCAACTTTGTAGCTAGTTAAATATTGGAAGCTTGTGTTTTTTGAGTGGTGATAGATATCACAGAGAAAACTTCAACGATACGCACAAATGCAACGTTCTTGGCGAAGCTGATTGTCGAGGAGAAACTTTGATGTGTATCAGATTTGTGAATATAATTTTAAAGATATAAATATTTTTAGTACAATCAATTTGTTTTTGTTTAGCGTGTTCGAACTGATAATGTTAACATTTGTTACGTGACTCAAATATTACATTCAGTTACTGACATTGCGAAATTAAACACTTCCAAGAACTCAGTTATGTTCACTGCGTGGAAACGTGTGCTCTGTTTGTAGGAGTAACATTGCGCAATCGCATGTATCTTCGGTTTATCGTTTGTGTGCTACCCGGGAATTGAGCGTAAAGAACGGTCTGTATTTACCTTGAAGTTAAGCATTAAGAATCAGGGATTCTTGAGATAGATCATAGCTATATTAAGCTCAATCTAATTTAAGTTGGCCGGGTTGTGCTAATTTTTAGATCAGCGTCAATTATCGCGAAGCCCAGTTAAGACACCAGATAATGATTAGTTCTTAGTGAAGTACTATTTCATATGTGCATGAAACTTCCCGGCGATTCCAAAAAACTGGGCTACTCTTTGGCGCAAGACGCTCGCGCGTTTAATACATGTGACAAGCTCGAAAAATTGTGGGAGTACTTGTATGAACAGAAACACGTAAATCGTTAGTTTTAATAATAGTTACGATTTATTTATTTCATTAGTATAAGCCAGGTGCGGATATTGTTTTCTCGTGTTCGTGTTTCCTCATTCACGTGAGTATGGCGATGCTCGCTAGATGGTGGGGCCGTAGTTAGTAGAGTAGTGCATAAAAATACAACATCTCTATAAATACTATGGCATGCATTCTATAATATAAATGATTTGGTGTAGTAAAACGTTTTAAGTCATTTGTAAATATTATACTTCAGAATAAAAGCCAAATTCAATTACAACAGACTGTTATTTAGCTTTGTGGCATAGTTATTTTGTAACAAAAATGTATATAATGTACCTGTGTCTCTAATGAGGAAACGGTTAAAGTATTAGCGTAATACGTGTGTAATTGTCAACTAATTTTTTCAAGCGTGATTGCACTTGGTTAAGTTCTCACCATGGCCGATGAAGGCGAAGCAAGTTATTCGCCGTGGAATTTTTCTTGGGTAGTGGAGAAAAAATTGGCGGCAATGGCTTGGCCTCAAACACCTGCAAATATTCGGTTTCTCCTTGATCAAGGTATTAGACACCTCATTACTTTATCTCCCGAGAAGAGACCTCCGATACATTCTTTCCCAGGCTTGGGATGGACAGAAATATCCATAAAAGAGTTTGAAGCCCCAACAATAAGCCAGATAAAAAAATTTATAGACATATGCCAGAGATGTATTATAGCAGAAAAGGTGGGTGGGAATTGTTACATAAATGGTTCATAATTTTCAGAAGTTTTATTTGCTAAGTTCAGTTTGAATAATTTGAATTTTGGTCATATTTTACAGCCTGTAGGAATCCACTGTCGTATGGGCCGCGGAAGAACTGGTGTGATGGCAGCATGTTATTTGGTCCACTTTCATAATCAGTCTCCTGAACGTGCTATGATAACCATCCGAATGATGCGACCGGGTTCTGTAGAGACTTATGAACAGGAGAGAGCTGTTATAAAATATAATGATTATTTGCGTAGCATAGATGCTGAGTGAAGTTGTGAAACAAGTCTTATTTACACATACTTTGTGGAAGGTATTGAATTAATCAATACAGTATTAAAAAAGAGCTATTTTAATGGTTTGATGTAGCTTGACTACATGTCTATGAAATGTACAGAAAACTGTAATACATAAATATTGTATAATGCTGTACTTGAACAATATTTACAAAAATAAATCTTGCAAGTAATCATTAAATTCTTCCTCTCTTGATTTTTCTTCAGGCAATTCACCAACACCTCTCCATGCAGCTCTCTCTTCATCATCATTTACTGTCCTTGCGTCTTCATTAATGACTTCATCCACTTTTTCAGTTTTTATTTTCTTAGTCTCTCCAACACTGACTTCTTGGTCTGTGATAATATTTCGCTTTTTAGTTTGCTTTGTGTTTTTCTTACTTTTGGTAACTTCTTTATGTTTTTTAGTAGAGTTCAGTTTCACTGAACATTCTTCACACAGTCCTGAAAAAGTGTTGTATTAATAGTAACCACACAATGTTAAAAAATAATTAATTTATTTTCGATGGAAACTTACGTATTTTAACAAGAGCGTTTTTCTTTTCCCCTTTCTCCAAGTAGCCAAAATTAACTTCCCATGTTCGAAGATCTTCTGAATTTGAGCAATGTTTTTCACCACAAGAAAACTGTCCCTTGCCACTGACTACTTCTTTCTCAACTCTCCACCTCATTGCAACCTGAAATGCTAACATATTAGAATTTTTCAATAAAAAAGAGGCAAAAAACACACAAACGCGTTACTACTTACCACGTTACTTTTGAAATGGGTCAGGTCACAAATTGCATATTCTTTAAAAAGTTTGTCGTAGTATTTCCGTGCCAACTTGGCTTCCCATGAAAGAGAACCTTCGTTTTCATCCCAAAGAAAACGGTGGTTTTCACGTATAACATCTATGTCACGTCTGTCGCGGCTTCTGCGTGGGAAAAATATTTTTATTTATAGTACTAAAGAATAGTTACTACTTAACTATCAGTGAAATTAAAAAATAAAATAAAAATATTAACGTGTCTCGTTTAAGTTGTGTAGTAGCTCCTGGTCGGCACAAAATGTATTGGTTGATAAGACGTTTATGCAAGTCGTAGGTTGATGTTGTAGACCACACTGATCTCAGATCTCCAGCCATATTACAATCAAAATCACACCAAAAAACAAGATAAATCAACAGCATATACAAATTAGAACAATGATTTCTTTGAAAACATATTTAACCTAACGACTTTTTTGAGGAACGTCACACTTTACAGTTTTCAGACACCTGGGAGAATCGAGTTCAATCTACCGGTTGCATATGCATTCAACGACAATAACTTTAAGATCGCAACAAAAACACCGTGAACCATGGCGTTTCACCATAATATACTGCAGGCATCCGCAAGTACGCATGCTATAGCAAGGCCGCAAGTAGATTGTTGACACTTGAAAGTGACGTGCCAGCTGTTTGTTTGAAATGTACCAACTTGTGAGGATTGACAATAGAACGGAACTGAGACACAAAATATTTCCAAGGGCAGATATGAGAAAATTATTGATGTTAAGATTTTATACTACTTAATAATACATAATAATTATATTTAAAAGTCATAGGAAGAGTTAAAATGCAATGAGCCACACAACACAATCTGTTTATATTTTTTCACAAACGTTCCGAGTATCAATACAGCCCACATACAAGCTGACCAATGCTGACCAACATGAACTCGCGTTTGACACGTAATGAAATCATCGTGTTGTGGGAGTTACAGTATTCTTGATTAAGACAATTAACCAGATTGTAACCATGCATTTTTAAAGTTGCTGACAGTAGGATTATTTATTTTTTGTTTCGTGGGCTATTTTAGTTGAAGTTTAATTCATTTAGACCTTTTGTTACCAACTACTGACACTTTTCAGAGGAGTGAGGTTAAAGTGAAAATTGTGACAATCACTAACAACTGATTCATAAACATTACGAAAATGGTGACTTTAAGAGAAAAACAAATAGGTAGGAAAGAGAGACACTATGAAAGAGATGAGATTTAGTGAATTGCTTTTGATTTGAAATGTGATTTACAGGTGCTTTGAAGCAAATGCTAAACTTAAATCAACCACAAACAAAAGCCTTAGCTGCAGAACCTGTATGGAAAATACTTATTTATGATCGCTGCGGTCAAGATATAATATCACCATTAATATCAGTTAAAGAATTGCGAGAATTAGGAGTGACATTACATGTGTATGTAAAAGTTATTATCCAATAGTTTTGTGTAATTTGATTTATAATTTAGGTATTTACTTTTTGTCTCCATTTTACTTTTCACAGCCAATTACACTCAGATCGAGATCCTATTCCTGATGTTCCTGCTGTCTATTTTTGTTTACCCACAGAAGAAAATCTGGGTAGAATTGGTCAAGATTTACAAAATAATTTGTATGAAATTTATCATTTAAATTTCATCTCTCCAATTTCAAGACAGAGGTTAGAGGATCTAGCTTCTGCTGCTCTTCAGGCCAATTGTGTTACTCAAATTCACAAGGTATTTATTTTGAAATTATATTATTCTATTAAAGTTTCAGCCGTATTGTAATATGATTTAATTATTTTGTCATAGGTTTTTGATCAGTACCTTAATTTTATCAGTTTGGAAGATGATATGTTCATTTTGAAACATCAAAATAGTGACTTAATATCATATTATGGTAAGCACCTTGCAAAACTTGAAATATGTTTCATAATGCAAAGTAATACTTGTTACAAAGAATTTAAACATTTCAGCAATTAACCGAGGAGAAATTAAGGATACAGAAATGGAGAACATAATGGATACAATTGTTGACAGTTTATTTTCAGTGTTTGCTACTCTGGGTAAGTTTAAAATAAGCTTAACTTTACTATTTGATTTATTTGTATGGTCGGTTATTGTAATAAATGTCTTAATTTTAATATAAACTGTGCCTTTTATAGGAACTGTTCCCATTATACGGAGTCCTCGGGGAAATGCAGCTGAGATGGTAGCTGAAAAGCTTGACAAAAAACTAAGAGAAAATTTACGTGATACTAGGAACAGTCTCTTTCTAATGGATGCTACCCAAGCTGGTCATTTTAGGTATAATTGTGCTCATATTTTTGTTCGTATGCTATTTGTAAGCAATAATGAATGTTGTAATGAACAACAGTGTTTCTTTAAAAGTTTTCAGCGTCCTCTTCTCATTGTTTTGGACCGTAATGTAGACATGGCAACCCCATTGCATCACACTTGGACATACCAAGCATTAGCTCATGATGTATTAGACCTCACTTTGAATCGTGTTGTTGTGGAAGAAAACATAGGACGTTCACCTGCAGGAGGTGCTCGTGTGAAAACAAGAGCTTGTGATTTGGATTCTCGTGATAAGTTCTGGGCTCAGCATAAAGGAAGGTATGGATGAATGTGTTCACAAGTCACCAGAATGAATTATTCATGTCATATTTGTGAGAAAAAGCTGAACTTTAAATGAAAAAAATCTTATTCTTAAACCAGCACTAATATGACAAAAACTTGAGTGTATTTTTTGTAACAGTTTCATAATATTATAGTATTGCAACTGGAATCCTACTAATTTTTAGCCATTTCTTGAGAACCTCTCACTAGCAAAAGAAAGGCAGATTCAAATATGCAGTTTTTGAATTTCGGAGTTTTTAATGGAAATTGAACTTCATATTTATAAGTGCACTTTACTTTATTTGACCAAAAAACGTATGAAATAAATAAAGTTTGCCTGTCTTGCGACTCAAACCCAAACCTTTGGATTAGAAACCACAAACTTGCCATTATGCTCTCTTATGATGTGTACAAATGAGAAAGAAAAATATTTTAACAAACACTAGAGATTTTGAGAAACTTCATAAGAGACCATTTATGACATTAAATGATAAGAAAGGGGTTGTAGTTATTTCACTTCACCAGAAGGATGAGGGTTAAAATCCTGTTGAAGCTGTGGATTTTTATCCAGTCATCTCCTAATGAGGATGGTCCTAAGGTTCACTCATTTGCAAATACAGGCTTACTTATATGGGCTCGGTTAACAATAAATACTGGTGAAATGTACAGTTGAAGCACAGTGCTTGCCACACTATCTTCTCCCCACTCCTGTGGTCATAATAAGAACTCCTGAAGCACAGTGGGTGCTTTCTGGAAATCTGGAAAAATTAGGAATTTCATTGCTTGGGAAAGACAGGAAAATGAGACAATTTGTAGAAGAATTATTAGATGTGAGGGAAAAATTTCAAAGGTTTATAAAACTAAATATTGTTCCATAAAAACACTAGCACAACATTCTTTTTTGCGCAGTTTTTATTTGTTTAGAAAATATTGTTAATTTGTACTTCCTCATTGCAAAATGTGAGAGCTTACCAATTAGTTTCAGACTGCCTTTAACATGTTCTTTAAATACGTAGTGTGAAATTAGAAAAGGAGGATTAGATTAGGAAAAGTGTAAAAAAATGGAAAACTGGAAATAGGGAGGGAAATTTTTTCCGGGAAATGAGTGACCACCTTGTGAAGATATGTTACTATAATATGCAGAGGACTCTGGAAGAGGGTGGTTGCCCCAAAATTTAAAAAGATGTGTTCTTACCTCCATCCTGCCCTAAGCAGGCACTTGGGGTACAAAGGCATGAAAATTACCAATAACAAAAGCAGCAGTTAAAACATTGTTCATCCTTTCCAAACCTGATGAAATGTGTATGTTCCACCCAATGTTGAAAAAATTTTAAAGTTATTTTATCCCCTTTTAATATTGAAATTGTTTCTCTCTCTAAGTATTCTGAAGCTGGTAGAATTGAATAAGTTGCAAAGGCAGATTGGTACGAGGAAATATAAAACATTGCCCAAATGTATTTCATTTTTCCTTGCTAAAAGTAGAAAAAAAATATTTTCTAGAGGTGAATTACTACAAGTTTTTTTCTTGATGTTATTTTGAGAACTAAAATTGTGCATGTATTTCATCCAATTATGTTACGCATATTCAGAGTGAAATATCATTGTGCTCATTTTGGGATATAATTCCCAACAAAACTGCAAAAAGAAATGAATTTAATTATTCAGAAATTTTTTGTTTTATCTCTGGCACAACAAATATGAAAACATCACTGTTAACTATTAGAAAAATGTTCATGAGTGAATTACCTGAAATATGACGCTGTTGGTCAGAAAGTAGTGGACAGTTGCGCCATAGGTACCATACATTGGACTGATGGGACATATTTGTCCCATCTTCCTATTCTCAAACTGGAATGTTTTCTTGTCTTTCAGTTTGTAAATTCCTTTAAACATGTAATATCAAAAAACTGACTATATGCCTCAGGAAAATCTCAAATTTGCTTGAGCTTCTATATTATCCTTAGAATAATCACATTAAATGCATTACTACTTTTGAAAGTAACTCTTGAGTCAAGAAGCTTGGATTCGTCTTAATATTCCATAAAAATAATTAAATTTTTAATTAGTCTGTTGTTTGTGTCATCTTCAGTAAATCACCCTTCTAAGAACTAGTACTGATAATGAATGAACCAATATCACATTTTCCAAAGTATGTATTCTAAGATATATAATGCATAGAGACAGGATTTCAATGCAAATTCATATTTTATCCCCTGTAGTTAGACAGTATGCTCACTTGGAAAGGCCAAGCAATTTCAATTATTAGAACCACACAATTTATAATTATTTAAAAATAATTCTATATTATTCTTCTGTATTTTGCCTCTTTTGTAATAACCATAACATTTCTCCAAATTGCTGCATATTTTACTTGAAAAAGTTTATTGTTACTAATATTCATTTGCTATATTCATTTTAATAAATTTAATTTGTAATGTTTGGAATAAAGAAAGTTCATTGTAGCTTGTATCACTTTCATGTACCTGAATTAGTCATGATATATTTTACAGGAAAACAATTATAGTTTCAAAAAATTACATGTCATTGAGTTCATCTTGAAAATCGGTAACCTTAATGAAGAAATGCATGTAACTTAAACTTGCCACAGAGGGGACTTTCCAGATAAACAGTGATGTGAAACAGGCTGCAAAACAGAAAGGAACGTTAATGGTGTGAAGGGGGCTGCTAAAGGGTTCTTAGAATTGTGTTGAAATGGTTCTGATGGTTATTGGTAAATGTATATGTATTTAACAGCAGAAATTCCATTGTGGTAACGTAACGCTTAATTGTGAATATAATGGCTCACTCCACTTTATCAAAATTTCATTGAGTGGTGTGGTGTTGTAAAAGTGAAGTGATCATAAATGTATTGGGTTTAAAAATTGTGATGAATGAAAATAATTTATAGGGTGAATTTTAGTATATATTTTCAAAGTTTTTAGTGCATACATGTATTCATATTTTGTAGATATATATCCAGTCTGTAGTCATGCATTATTTGTTATTACCCAGATATCAGGTCTAAATATTTAACGTGTGTTTCAGTCCATTTCCTCTAGTTGCTGAAGCCATACAAGAAGAATTGGAGCAGTACAGATCATCAGAAGATGAAGTGAAGAAATTGAAGGCATCTATGGTATGTTTTGAATATTTTTGAATAAAAAAAATGGTTATTTACTTATTTATTTTATTATATTTTTATTGTTTTTTTGTTATATTTTACTTGTTTGTTGAATACCGGTTTACTTTTGCAGGGAATAGACAATGACAGTGATGCAGCTTTTTCAATGGTGTCTGATAACACTGCAAAATTAACTTCAGCGGTAAATTCTCTCCCACAACTCTTGGATATGAAGAGACTCATTGATATGCACACTACAATTGCTACAGGTAAAATAAAGAATGTATTCCATGTTACATATTATATACATATTCTCTAAAAAAAACTGTCATAAACCAAAAAAGTAAGATTTTTTGACAACTACACCTTCAGCTTCAATTTTTAATGCTTTATAATTCTAAAAATCCACCAGAACTGTAATGCAGAACACAAAAACCTCCAAATGCCTTTTTCTTAAAACTGCTTTTTCTATGTTATGACAGTTTTTAGAGGGCAGTTTTAAATGTATTATTGCACATGATATTCTTTTTTAAAACAATTTGAAAGAGTAAGTGCCTTCAATGCTAAGTTTCTTTGAATGACAACAATTTTGAAAAAACAAAATTCCAGTGAGCTTCCTGTAGACCTCCAAATATCAGAATTAACTAGTGATGAAGTCAATTTTGTTATGTAGGAATTTAGATGATTGAAAACACCTCAGAAATTTACAGGCAGAAAAATTCAACTTCAGTTTATAAATTAAGTTAATACGGTACAAATACAGACAACCGTAAATACTGTAAGATATAGTTTTCTAACCTTTTTAGTCTTGGCTAGCTTTTGGGTATTGCCACACCCTCCTTCCTGCTGCTACCTGCCAGCACCTAAAGACATTGTTTCACGAGGACCCAAAAAACATGGATTCTGACTACACAGGGTATAAGAGGAAGGAATTGGAACTAGATTTATCCACCAAGACATGCAATGGAGTAAACAGTTACTTAATAGTTTGTAGGCTTATATGCTTTTAAGGAATTTACGACTTCCTAATGGAGAGTTTCTCTGTCTGCAAATTCCTTCTTTTTATTCTGCAGCTTTACAGTAGTTTGTCTATACTACATAAGTACACTGACCCCAGGTCGAAGGAATAAAAGCGTGACAAGACTTGACAAAAATAATAACCTAGGATTACTCCACACCACCATTCAACACCCAGCAAGGGTTCAGAGAGCTTATCTGTCAATGAAGATGAAACAAATTTAAAATAAACCATTGGTGCTGCCAAAGCGCATACTTTCTTGCATTGTTTCTAAAAGCTCCGCAACATTACACTATTACTTAACCAGCAAAAGTGTTGTCAAGCAGCTAATTATTTTTCTGCACTGTGACTCAAACTCAGATCCTCAGAGTTAACGTGCCGGCACTCATACCACTATGCCACAGAAGCGCCGCATGGTTCAATTTCTAACAAAGGTATGAAAAGGTAAATGCATGATTTATGTAAAAAATCTTTCAACAAACTGAATATCCTTTAGAAACTCCCATAGCCTCCAGTCCGTTAAGATCAATGAGGGTATATCAATTTTGAAGAAAACCAGCTGAACGGTTTAGCTGCTAGCATTAACCACAGACAGACATTTTGCCATTAATCGATTTTGCAATATCAAGAAGCAACAAAACATGGATTCTGGCCACACCACATGTTAGACTTTTTTTTTCTAAATTCAGCAACAGGATTTATCCACTTTTTCATTATCAGAACCCTGCAATGAGGTTTATTCTTGCAAAATTTCAGCATTTTCTAGCGCACAATTACATAACTTTTTCTATTTACAAAGAATTTTTAAGGCTAGAAAGTAATAATAATTTCTGAACTGTTAGAGATATCTAAGTTAGTCAGATGGCTAGTGTTCATAATGTATTTAAATTTCATTTCGATAGATTCATTAGTTTATTTAAATTTGTTTTATACAGATGCACAGAAATTCAAAAATTGATTTGACATGACACGTTTTACAAATGGCAATAGAAAATTTAAAAAAATGTTTAAAAGTTACAAATTGTAAAAGCACATATAGAGAGACACAGTTTATTTGTGTATGTATTGATTGCATTTGTGGGTAGAAATGCTTCAAATGATTTTTAATAAAGTTTCTCTAAACCCTAATAGTTTTCTACACCAACATTTTCATCAAGCATGAAAAGACAACAATTGATTTGATGGTTCATATGTTTTACAAATCCAATGAGAGGTGTGAAAAATTGTTTAAAAGTTAAAAATTCGAAAATCACATAGAGACATTATTAGTTTATTTATCTTGATTAATGCTATTTGCGATTAGAATTGCTTCAAATGGTTTTCAATAAAGTTTGTGAAATCCTCAATTATTTCTTGTGGCAACTCAGAATTGTGACTAATAATAATTCCCTGACAAGATTCAAACCAGCCGACCTTCCCTCTGAAAAGCTGGGCTGTGCTCACCAACTTAGCCACCTCGGCCATCCCGATAAGACATGAAATGAATACTTCTATAATAATAATAACTGTACGGCGGTTTCTGTTATAGCATTACAAAACCGAGTACTTGAGAAAATATGAAAAGAAATTGTTTTTCAGGTAACAAAATGAAAGACACTGTGAAGAGAATGAGGCTTGTCCCAAAAGTTGGTCAAGAGTAGAGAGATTAGAAAACTAACTAGGTCAAGAAAGTCTGTGCACCACCGATTTATTTCTTTATTATTTATTTATATAAATAGCTACTTTACTACAACAAACTTTTTTCTGAGGCTGAAATATCTTCAATTTTGTAGTTTTAAAATTGTTTTGCAATTTTGGAAAACCAAGCAATACCCAAAAATGGGATTAGCACCATATTTCTTACCACCCCTTATTACATAGGTGGGCAAAATACAAAGAAAAAATTTGGAGCGTTTTTTGAGACATTTTTTTGGTAAACTTCAAACCCAAACTATGCCAATACTGCTTCTTCTTCTTCTTCTTCTTCTTCTTCTTCTTCTTCTTCTTCTTCTTCTTCTTCTTCTTCTTCAAAAAATTAAACATAACATTTTTTAAAGACGTAATTTTGTACAACAAACTTTGCCTGAGCCAAAAAACCTCTATCATCAATTTTGTGGTTAACATTTTTTTTGCAATTTTTGAAAAATCACGTATATCACCAGGGAAAAAAACCTACACCATTCTCTTAAACGTCTTTCGCACTATCAAACAACAATATTTAATCACATAATTTGGAGCAGTTTGTTCGAAAATGTTGAAATTATCTGAGGGAATTCATGTAAAATGCTCCCCAAAATTAAAATATTGGTTTGGAAATCCAGGGGCAACGACATCAGTCAGATCGATTCAGGAATATCAATTTTCGAGAGAATCAGCTGAATGGTTTAGTCGCTAGCGTTAACCACGTTTTGTCATCAATCGAATTTTTGGTATCAAGAACCAACAAAACATGAATTGTCGGCAACCAACATGTAGTGGATTGCCCCCCCCCCCCCCCCCCCCTTAAGTTTAGCAACAGGATTTATTCACTTTTTCGTTTCCAGAGCCTGACTATAATACTTTTCTGGCGAAAATTCGTTGTTTTCCGCCGCACTATTACATAACTTTCTCTTCTTACAAAGAATTTATAAGGCGAGACAGTAAAAAAGATCCTATTTATGCTACAGAGTGGCACAGACTTTCTCGTACTAGTTTTCTAATTTCTTTGGTCTGGGCTAGGAAGGGCTAGGCTTTTTTAAAGTTCTCAGTTTTTCGGGTTCCGAATGTTCGAAACAAAATATTACTTTAATAATATTAAGGGAAAGTGATATCTCATCCTTTATGGGAATTTTTGTTAGCAAAATTTGGACCTGCTTTTAAGAAAATGTTATTTAAGTGTTAGTGTAATTGTGAAAATTTTAAAGCTCTTTTCCATGAAAAAATTTTGATTTTTTGAAAAACTTAATTCAAAGTCATTTAAAACACTTTCACTGACTAATGCAGTAATTTTTACAAATATCTGGAAATGTTCATATTAACAGTGTGAGATATATTTCAAAAATATTACATATTCTTAATTTTTTTAAGAAAAAGAAAGGAATACATCAAAATTAATTTTTTTGTCACGTTCAGTTCTTTTAGTACTGTCCTTAGAAAAACTTTTAAGACAAACTTTGGAGAAAATAGCATTTGAGTGTTTCAAATTACATTTTTGTAATGACCTTGTTCACATGACCTTAGTAAAAAAATTCATTAAGGAGAGCAAATTTATTTATTTATTATTATAGGTTGTACAAACAAATAATGTAAAATAACATTAACATTATTTTACTGAGGACAAGGTCCTGTACGTGAACCTGCAGTTCGTGGAAAATATAGAATTTCTGGAGTGACTATAAATTATTTTAATTTAATTTGAAGGAAATCTCTATTTTACATTTTGTAGTTGTAGCAAGACTAAAAATTTCAACCTTATGCAATATTCGAAAATTCAGAGTTAACAGTGAAAATCAAACTTATGCCACCTTTTTAAGTGTATTTTACTTTATTCTTCCACGAAATTTAAAGAAAAAATTTGTAGCCATTTTTGACAAAATTTTGAAAATGTCCACATTCATGCAAAGTACCTAAAAAATTTTAGTTTTTTCAAAATCACAGACCTTCAAGTCGAGCCAGATCTACTGACAAATATCCGTTTTGGAAAAAAATCCTACAAATAGTTTAGGTGTTACTGTTTACTGACATACAGACGAACGGGTGACGGATGTTTTGAAGGAAAACAATAACCATATGGGTATTCAGGGGCCCAAAAACGTATTTCCATTGAAATCTTGAACTCAATTTTTCGCAGCATTACAAAACGTTTTCTGTACTATGTATATTACTCCGTATATATGTACAAATACAAGAAAGTAACTGGTGGTGCCACAGAATGGCATAGAGTTTCTCGTACTTGTTAGTTTCCTAATGTCTTTGGTTTGGACTAGTTTCTTGGTCTTGCTCCATCAGCGCCGAATAGCTGGCAAATCTATCGCCGGCAAAGTACCCTTTATTGTTATTATTATTATTATTATTATTATTATTATTATTATTATTATTATTAGGGAGGAGGAAAATCCTTTATGGATACCAGTGAAGCTGGTGATGTCGGACTCCCAACTAGGTTACTAAAAAGCCTAACCTCCGTCGTCTTAAAACCTATTCTCTCCACGCGGAAACCGTCGTTAGACATACTTCACCGCAGGAGATTGTCTGTAGCAGATGCTGTATTCGTCTGTCTTAATTCTTTCTTCT